ATTACTAAATTCTCGGTGGACAAAAATGAGTACTTATGTTTTAATTTCCAAAAATGAGACTAAAATTTACTAATAGGACCATTACACCCTTAATGAACCCAGGACCACCTAGCTTGCTACAGTGACCCGGTACAGTGACCAAAGTGACCAAAAGTGTTCAGTGACCAATATTTACAGTGACCAAACTTACAATTATCACAGTGACTCCATCAATTAGTGACCAATGACACAGTTACTAACGCTCGGTGACCACCGTCTAATGACCACCGTCAGTGACCCAACCCTATTGCAGATCACAGTGACCAACACCTGTGATTACAGTGACCATCTCCAAGTCACAATTACCAACCGGCCAATTACCAACTAAACAATACAATTCCATACCACATATAGAATATAATGAAGTGACCTAACTTCCAATCATGTCCACCGCCAACTGCCACCCGCCACCAACATCGCCGCCGGCCGGTGACTGCCACTAGTGACAGTGACACCTCCATAGTTACTCCAGTCAGAGTCAACAGTGACTCCGGTCACAACAGTGACTCCGGCGGCTACAGTGACTCTCCGGCCAACCCTCCGGTCACAGTGACTCCGGTGAAAACTTCATAGTGACACTTCGTCCACAGCGCCCAAAAAACTACTGGCCAAAGTGACATCACCACCCGTCCAATGACCTTCGTCACTCCGGTCACCGCTGACCACCGCCACCATGGACCGCAGCGCACACCCCGGCAACCCCCCACTACGGTCCACAACGCACACCCCCCACTCACACCAGCACAACCCCCATCTGGCCCTGCAAGTACCGCACGCTGGTTCTCCACCGCCCCACCACCAGATCGAAACCCTAGCCGCCCAGATCTGAAAATTCTAGTCGTGCGGATACAGAAATCTACAGATCTAGATATTATTTTTTTGCGGCAACTATGGAGACGCTCTATCGAAGAAGACAACAACGGAGGTGCTCCAAAGCAGCGGCAATCGAGACATACTGTCGAAGACGATAACGTAGGAGGTGCTCCGAAGCAACGAGGCTAGATTTATAGTTGAGAAGAAAGGAGAAGAAGAGTGGCGGCGGCTCAATCGGAGAACGCTAACGGTGGCGGCTCTGTCTGACAAGCGCAGGTAAGTCTCCGTTGTCGCCGCTTTTACGTCTTTGTCAGAGCCGCGACCCATGAATATTCATTGTTGCCACTTTAGTTCTCAACCGTCGAGTGAGTTGTTGCAGGAGAGGTCGAAAAGTAAAGAACAAAAAATGAGTGAAGGTTAGGCAAGGGTATTTTGGACCATAGCTCCTAGTTTAGAGACTTTTGCGTCCAATACATAAACGGGCCATAATTTTGTCATTTGATAGTCCGTAACTTATATTTTAGGCATTATTTCTAATTTAAATTGGGTAAATTAAAAGAAATTACTCTGTCCAAGTAAGTAATCTAAATAAAAAAGAATTGCGTATGGTTCAAAAAGAAAGGGAAAATCTTTAGTCAAGTAAGGGAGCCAATTATAGGGGCAATTAGCAAAATAAGAGTAAAACATAGACTTGTGCAAAAATAGGATTAGAGTTTTAAAATTCCCAAAATAGGAGTATTTTTTTGTAAATGGACAAGGATACCCTGTCTCTTGCCGCCTACTGCTACAGTTCCGCCGCCAGCCAGACTTCGCCAGACTGCCGCCACCGCCGGAGCTCCGGCAACCACCGCCGAAAATTTTTCCAAATTTTTCTCTTGGAAGTTAAAAATCTGGCTAAGTTAAAAATAAGGGCAAAGAGGTCAAACTTTGTTTTTTAGAGGCTACCAAAGAAAGAGAAATGAGAAAGAAAAAAAAAGATCAGCCAATGTAGATTTCCTGGGAACGTACTCATAATTACGTATTACACACTCATTTGAAATTTATGTTATTCTCAATTTCTCATTATAATACCATGTCATAATTTTCTAAATGTTATACTCAGTTAAATATAATATAAGACTCATTTTTATGAATCATACATCCAATATATGTTAGTCAAAAGAGTTGATTACCATTATAGGAGTAAAAAGTTTATAATTTGCCAAAATAGGAGTATTAATGTTACGTGTGTTTGATAGGAGCCTTTTAAGACCAAGTTGACAAAAATAACCTTTTTGTAGTTCACATACGCAAGCTGAAATTGAACGAACTTGAAATTGAACGAACACTGGAGAATCGGGAAAAAAAACATTGGCGTAGAACTTCAGCAACCCTCGCTAGTGTAGCCTGCCTCAGCCTCCCACACCGATGCCGCCCGCCTCCGCCTCCTACACCGGTGTTGCCATCTATCTCCACCCAACCGTCGTCTCTATCCGCCGCCACCTTCCCCTTCCGCCTCTTCCGCCCAATCTACGCCGCCGACATTGTAGCACTGTTATTGTCTTTTATTAAAATTGCCGCAAGTGTCAATTTTGGGGCCACCACTTCACCTGTGAGCATCGTCGTTGCCATCCCTACTCCGGTGTCATTAATCTGCCATGAAGTTAAGAGATTTATCCCTGAAGATTAATTACAAATTTGCCATGAAAATGAATTTTTAAATCTGTCAAAATGTTGGCAAATTTTTCTTGGCAGATTCGCACATATCTGCCATAATCTTGGCAAAATATGAAGTGAACAGCTAAATTCCGGTTTAACAAAATGAAACAATCACTTTAACAAATCCAGCTCAATCAAAAACAAGATTCAAATGATAAAAATCAGAAGATCAGTTTACACCAAAATTTTGTCATAATACAATTGTGTACATTTCTGCAATAAACTTGGCAAAAATTTATGCCATCATCCAAAATTTGAGAAAAGCATAAAAGTGTGAGAAATTAAAAAATGGAAATACGAAATATAAGTCCTAAAATCAACAAATTTAATGCTAAAACTCAAAAAACAGAGGAATTGAAGAAAAATCTGAAAAATAGAATAATAGGAGGAGGAAGGAGTTGACCCGTCTGATTTGTAGAGAAGAAGAAGCCAACGATCTTTGCAGGGGAAAAGAAACTGACCGACAGAGAAGCAGAGAGGAGAGCGAAAGATGGTGCGTAAGAGTAGATAGATCGTGAGTTAAATATAGTAGGGGCAAGAATGAAATTGAAAAGTTTGTATGTTTAAATAGGAGTAAATGATCCTATCTGGGGAAGAAAACATACATACTCCTATTTAAGAATTTCTCCCAAGTTTTACTCCTATATGAGGCAATTTCTCTGGTCAAAACTCAAAATTTCCGAAATAAAAGTAAAAAGTTTGAAGGTTCCGAAATAATACTCATTTTAAAATCCCAAATTGCCAAAACATAACAATAACTAGTTCTATTTTGGGAATTAAAAATACGGAGTATGAAAGAAGTACTCCCTTCGTCCCATTTTATCTGTCTTACTTTCCTTTTTGGTTTGTCCCGAAATAAGTGTCTCATTTCCTTTTTTGGAAAGAAATATGTGGTCTACACCATTTCACTTTATTAAACTCAAATCTCAACCACAACTTTTACCTTTTCAACCACTTCATTAATAACCGTGTCGAGTCAAACTAAGACACATAAAAGGGGACGGGGTAGTATATATGCATTAGTACGTATTAATTTTTTAGAGTATATAAGAGAGATGTCCTTATAGGCATAATTGTATATCTATCTGGCCGTAATGTACAATATTGTGGTGGTCGGGCTACTTGTTGTACTATATCCCTTATTTTTCCTGTTGTGTACGGAGTACAAAATTGTGTTGGGTGGGCTACTTTGTACTATATCTCTTATTTTGTCCTCATTAAAATATTGCAATATTTTTCTATCACAAAAAAAATCAGGAAGGTGACTGGCGTGGCTCGGATGTGTTTTAAAATAATGACATTTTAGCAGGAAAATGATGATGGAATTCTTTTTAGGGTTTTCAATGAAAACGTTGTTGGATAAATAGATGATCGACATAACATTTTTGGATAGTACTGCTGAAATAGAAACGTTGCAATTCTATTAATTGGGTTAGCGTTTGGGCTACCGTTTGGGTTAGCATTGTGGGTTAGCGTTTGTGTTAGCATTTTGAAATATGACATTTTTTACTAATTGTTAGCGCCAAATAGTTAAATTATCAAACATATTCTAACAACCCGCCAAGTTGGCGACGCCAACTGATTCTGTCAGTCAAACCTGCTGACTGAATTCGTTATTGAGAAAAATGACATTTTTTTATAAAAAATCGCAGAATGTTTACCGATCGGAGGTGGTGGTGCTTGGAGGCGGTGGGAAATGAAGAGTAATTCCATAATAATGCAGATTCAATCAAAGTTTTGGTATAATGAAGAGTAATAATGTCATTTTATTGTCATTTTCGAAAAAAATGGGATTTTATTAAAAACAAATGGCATAATTTTTACCGATCGGAGGTGGTGGTATTGGGAGGCGGTGGAAAATGTATCCATATTTTTATGGGTTTTTACTATTTTTTTAAAAAATACTTTTTTAATTTTTTATTTTATAAATATTTTATTTTTTATTATTTTTTTACGCTATTTTAAATATTTTTTAATATTTTATTATGAATTGAAATAGTTCATTATGAAATAATACCCTTAGGGGTATTTAGGGTAGAAATCAATGTTTAGTCCAATTTTAGGGGTTTTTAAATGTAGTATTCCTATTTGTGCATTTTAGGTTATATTTAGTCCTATCTAGACCAATTTATATAAAAAATTCCGTGTAAACTTTTTTTTTCCCAAAAAAATTCTTTGTACCGACACAGTTTGACCCAGTGCTCTGGCTTCGCTCCTGGTTCAAATGGGTCACACGCCCTACTAAGGCATAATGTATAATTTGGTGTACACTTTTTCATGTACACATTTTGTACACCATTCAATTTTTGGGTGTGTAAACAGACGAATCAGATCAAGTACTACACAAGTTCGAAGTGAAATCAGAAATGTTTCTGAATTTCAGAGTAATGTGTACTATTCCTTAATAAATTGTAAATGAAGTCGGAACACCACTTCAAAATTCAACGAGATATAAATATGGGTAGAGCCCCTCTCTTTTCCTTCAACTCTACCAAAAGCCGGACTTCATTTTACACACCTAAAAACCCAAGAACAGAGGATAGTAAGAAGAAAAGAAGAAATGGTTAAGAAAGTTGTGGTACTGGCTGCCTTCTTCTTACATCTATGTTCCAACATGATTGTTAGAAGTGGCGCTGCAGGCTCCCTGGTTAAGTTTTTGCCCGGGTTCAACGGCTCGCTTCCCTTCGAACTTGAATCCGGGTCTGTTCTCTTCTTCCCTTTCCTCTTTACATTGATTATTTTCCCCTGACTTTACAGAATACACAAACCAGTTCAGAGTACTTTTTCCTCCTTTACGCTTATTTGCAGAATGGGGAGCAATGGGCATAAATGAATTATTGGAAAATGGAGAACTAGTTCAAAAAATATTTTATGTTCCTAATAAATCATACTCTATGTTGCACCGATACTTCACCCCGATGCTATATCCGATACGTATCCGTATCCGATACTCACCGATACGCGTCCTGTACGTATTGGGTCCGTATCCGTAATTTAATAAAAGTACCGAGCTTAATTTTAAAAATACTGATACTTCCGATACCCGTATCCGTGAACCGATATGCGTATCTGACCCTGTAACCCTCATTTCATACACGACATGACGAAAATTTATTAGTCATCCAAGCGACCCTAAGATGTGGAGTATTGATAAAGATGATTTCGGGAGTATGGAAAATAACGGATTACTATAATTTTTCATTTTATCGCTTGATGAGCTTTAATTGAAACAATATTTAGATATAAATGTAAATAGAGAACAAAAAAGTGTTGTTTGAATTTAAATCAAAATATCTGTACTTTAGTTTCTTTAGCCTAATCTTTAAAATCTTATTATAATATGGAGTAGTTATTTTTTGTACTATTATTATTATTATTATTTTATTTATGAACTCCAGAATTATATATATTTTCAAATTATACCCTATATTTTTATTATTTATAAATTTACCCCATACCCGTATCCTCTAATTTTTTAAATTGCCGTATCGTCGTACCCGTATTCGCGTATCGACGTATCGGCGTATCCGTATCCGTGCAACATAGAATTGTATTTTCTTAATTTGATATGTAATTTTATGCAATCGTATACTCCCTCCGTCTCCTAACTTTGTCCCATTTTACCTTTTATGTCCGTCCCATTAAATTTGTCCCTAACTATATTTGGTAATATTTGAGTGGTTAGAATCCATTCTTACTTTATTCACACTTTATCAATTCAATATCAACCACACAATTCTACTTTTTCTTAAAAACCACACCACATCCTTTTGTCCCAAACTTAGGGGGCGGAGGTAGTACATAGTATGACTTCATTATAGTGTTGGGGTAGGTGGTCACAGACTCACAATCCAGTAAATTCAACTATTTGAGTAATTCATAATTTTTCTAAAAACGCTAGGTTCATTGATTTTTTTTGGCGAGTATACCAAGTTTTGAAGGTATAGTTCACTCCATTTGAAATAAGCCAAGCCAATTGGGTATAGTTCTCGATTCTTTTTGTAAAAAAGAATAGCATTATACTAGAAAAGTACCTAAAGTATCAACATTGTCAAAACTATTATTGCAATCAAACAGAGCATGTTTGGTTACATTGAGATTAGTTGAAAGAGATACGATTTTTTCTTCAAAGAGATAAATGTAACTTCATACGAAGTATATAGTATCAAATTCTAGAAATTATCAATAAACATAACTCACGCATGTAGAAATATAAATCACACATATGAAAATGTAATCTCATATTTTTTTTATCAAATGTAAATAAAAATAACCAAATTTAAATGTCTTAGAAACACTAAAAACATATAAGAAAGAAAAAGTAATTAATTTTTGTTTGAAATTTTAGTTGAATAAAAAAAAGTGTATCAATAAGGACTAAGAGAGAAAGAAAAAGTAATAATTTATTTTGAAAGGATGTAAATTTGATCCCAAGACTGTACGTAGTAATACATAGTTTTTTTGGAGAGATTCCAGTGTTCTTATATTAAAAATATCATATGAAAATTGACTTTTTGATTATGAAAGAATTAAAAGTAAAAAAACGAAAAAGAGAAGAAACGTAAGTGGGACTGAGGGAGAGTGGGAATGTGCGGCTGGAGCAGTGGCCATCGAGCAAGTAGCCATTGTATGGTTCGTTTGTGATAAAAACGGTATCGTATTTGGGATCGGTATACCATATGCATGGTATACCCATCCCACGGTATAATTTGCACCTTAAGATAGTCAGCCTTCCACCCAATGCCGCGGTGAGACACTTAATTGAGAATAGGAACGCAACACTTCAACACACACGCAAAATTTAGGCACACGACTTTACGGTCAACGACCAACCTTGTATTAATTCACAATTCACAATTAATACACTAGGACTAATACAATACGTTCACAATCTCCACACACTTGCAAACACTAAGGCATACACTGCTCTCACACATCTGGTTACAAAACTAGCAGTATGCCGCAGCCTATTTATCGACTGGACCGAGTCTGGCAGTTACAAGCCAACTGCCTAGCCTGAAGGGACGCGTCTCTTTGCGAGTTGAAGTTGGTAACCGCCAATGCCGCGGCCTTCCGGTTCGCCCAAAGCACCTGTTCGCCCGAAGCCCTCAACTGCCTTGCCACCGGTTCGCCCCAAGGCACCCGTTCGCCAAATGCCATGCTCCCTTCCAAACCTGAGCCACGCCTCTTCGAGCTTGCACTCACGCCGCAGCCTAACCCAGACCACCCGGAGCCAACTCTTTGCCTTGAGCTCGTGACCAACCCTCGTTGCCTTGCGCCTAGCTTGCCCAAGTCCCACTTGTCAACCAGCCAACCAACCCCCTTTGCCACCGAAGCTCCCAATAGTCATGACTGCCCAAGGACAACCACGCCCCGGGCTCAAGCCTGGCCATGCACACCACGCACTACCCTTGAATCGCCCACGTGCCACCTTGAGCCACTTGCTTTTGCCGTGCATCCAACCAGTTGTCCCACATCCCGTTAGCCATGCCCGACATGCCACTGACCTTCACCAACACTTGGAACACATGCCGGAGCAACACACCCATAGCCACCCTTGACCATGTCGTGCTGCCCATGAACCAAACATGGTTTCTCGCAACGCCAACCATTCTGCCCTCATACTTGGTCTAGCTTGCCTTGTCTTGACTAAGTCCCCATGCCTTAGCCAAACTTCCACCTTGCCCATTCCTCGCAAAGCAATGCCGCAGCATGCCTTTGCCTTGGCGAAGCATCGCCACGATGACTTTGGCCGCATCCCATGCCCCAAAAGACACCCTATCGAGCCAATGCCATGTCTCGATAAAGACCCGTCAAAAAGGGGTCTAACAGTCGGGGAGGATCATGGACATCTACATATTACATAACCAATCTAATAACTTTCTTTAATTTTAATCTGCCAAAAACGGTTTAAAACAAATTGTATATAATGAATTAAACTAAAATACAACAACAAAATGCAATGCTCCTTTCTTTCATATTATATTTCTATGTCCTTGTAGGGTTCCACACATTTGATACTTTACTAATAATATTGTACACTTAATTAAATAATGTTTTTGTAGGGGGGCCTACAAATATGACATATTTTATTTTAGGTCCTTGTAAAATAATGATTATTGTTTTTCAACTTGTAATATGCACTAATGCACTGTTTTGTTTTCATGCCATATCTAACTACAAAATCACTCCATTTAGAAAAAAAATATTGTAGGTTGCATAATTACTATAGAAATTGTCTTGAATAAGAGTAAAAACTTTATGAAATTCCAAAATAGGACATTCATATTTTTATTCCCTAAATAGGAGTAGTTTCTGCCATGAAAAAAACTGTCATGTTTTAAGTCTGATAATGCCAAACATGGCAGAAATTACTCCTATTTAGGGAATGATGTGAGTTTTCTCGCACTTAAATTACGTAGTAGAATATGGTGCAAGTATGGGTATCGTGTCCACAAGGACGAAAGAGGGGAATTAAGTATTAATTAAATTCAACGATGAAAATTTATAAAATAAAATGTAGTTGTGCGAGATTTGATTTGTTGAAAAATTAAAATGCAACTAAACGAATAAAAAGCTTGGTTCTTTCTAATTAATGACGGAAGCAAACGGAGATTGATTTTGGGGTAATCAGATTTTTGGCTGATTAGGCTTAATCACATGAAAATTATTTAATTGAGCAACGCTGGTCAATAATAAGTTCTTACCGCTCTCGCGGCGTAGAGTACTACTCCGTATAATTTAGGAAACCAAGCTGATCTCTCATGCGACAGGTATCTAAAATTATTGCCAAAATGAGCGAGCGTACGGCCCGTTAACCGTTACTAATCCCTTAGCGAACAATTAAGTGTGTGTGGAGGTGTCCTAGAATAAATTAGATTTTTCTTAATTTATTATACATGCAATTATAAGCCTAGCTGCAGTTCTATGTTACCAGATTAAATAACATTCATGTAATTAATCCATCATGAATTAAAACTACTCACAATTCATAATTGAATTAACAATAGAATTGGGATGAAAAGAATTAATTGTCATTAATTAAAAAGATCGAACTTACAAATAATCTTAGGATCTTGAAGAATAAAGTGGAAAAATACGTAATATTTCGTCCCTAGGCCTCTCTTTAAGATCCGTAACACAAAAAACAGGGATTTACGAGGTGTTTAAATAGAAAACAGGTCAATCCGAGCCGAAATAGGACACCTGGGGGCAAAAAAATGCCGGGCACGTTGTGCTTCCCTTGGCATGCGGCATGCCCGACCGGCAGTATCTCCAGCGTGAATGTTCTCTTCCGCGCACGGCGCACGGCTTTCCCGTCCGAATTTGACTATGTTTCCTTCACCAACGTTGTAGCTAATGCAATCTTCTATCCATCACAACTTGCAAAACAGGATTTGGATAATCCAATAAAAGGTTATGAATAAAATGTAGAAGGTCGCATCCTGAAATCTCAACAGCGATTATCTGACTTCCTCGTCTGTTTTCACATTGCTCCTCTCAGATTCTCATAATGGTGTCTTCATACTACGTATAATTTGTAGACCTTGAAGTTAGCTTTAATATGGAACTTGAATCGTGTACTTTGGATATTTCTACAAAAAGATATGCTTGAACGATTTACAGAATGTCATCTTTACCGCCGTTTTCAAGCTCTATTCATCTTCTCGTGATCCCGTAGTCAATTCTAGAGCTCTTCTGTCTTCAAAACTTCGTCTTTAACACCTCATTGACCTACGATTCTCCTAATCAACTCTCAAATGAGTTTCAACTCTCTCGATTACTTTTCAAACGCCGATGTCGGGCTTAAAATATGACTTGATCTAAAAATGAGACTTATGACACCTTTAAGCTAGGAAAACCCGCAAAAGCCGATCTCAACACGCATCAAATGTGTGTCGAAATACGGACTTATCAGGGAATAAAAATATGGCAGACATTGGCAGTCTTATTTTGATTACTCTTCCCATTTGCTTGACCTTTAAGGATGGAGCGTCAGGTCTTAACTAAGGCTGTGCACGGGTCGGGTTCGGGCGGGTCGGGTTTGCGAACCCTAAACCCGTTCGGGTTTTTTTAATTTAAATACTAGGCCCGACCCTTTAAAATTTAAAATCGGGTATTTCAGATATTTTTAATTCGGGTATTATCGGATATCGGGTCGGGTTTCGGATATTTCGGTTATATTAAAAAAAATTATAATTGGATAATTAAAGTGTTTAAACGCCACTTTGACAAAAATTGTACACACTAGTGCACTAAACTTCCAAATTACACAAATAATTTAACACAAATTGCACAAATAATTACACAAATAATTGAACACAAGTATTAATTTAACATATTCAAAATACACACTACATAATGTAATATATTTCAGATATTTTGGTTATATTAAAACACATTATAATTGGATAATTAAAGTGTTGGAATGCCACTTTGACAAAAATTGTACACATTAGTGCACTACACATTCAATATACACAAATAATATAAAACAAATTGCACAAATAATTACACAAATAATTGAACACAAGTATTAATTTAAATATTCAAAGTACACACTAACCTATATTTCGGATATTCGGGCGGGTCGGGTTGGGATTTCACCAACCCTACCCGCCACCCGGTCTAGGCCCAATACTAATCGGATTTTCGGTTTCGGGTTTTTCGGGTCGGATATCCATTTCGGTTCAGATAATATCCGGAAAAAATATCGGGTTTTTCGGGTCGGGTCGGGTTTTGCTCAGCCCTAGTCTTAACACATGCGCCAGATAGGGCGGTATTAGGCGCTGCCAGTGAAGATGGCGGGAGAGCGAGCTCCGACGAGGCAGTGGTAGTGCTACTGCTAGCTGTCGAAATTCTAGGGTTTCAACAGATTTTTTTATTTTACATTTTTTAAATTTAAAATATTAATACAAGTTTATTTTTGTATAACTATGCTGATTTTAGTCATATGAAACGTATCTTTCATTGACAGTCCTATATGAGCAATTAACTTTGATATTACTACTATTTGAGTAATTACCTCTATTTTTTGTCCGGATTTAATTTGAATGGTAAATCGTTACTCCATATTTTTACTCGTATGAAAAGCAATCATTATTGATTATAAATTTTGTTTATTGTACTTTTAAACCATTGGAGTAACATGTTTGAAAAGTCAATTCAATAAAAAAAGTTTTATTGTGAATGACAATTCAATCAAAAGTTATGAAACATACCTGGTTACCGCCGAGAATGAGCAGAAGCACATAGTGGGTATGTTTGGCAAATGGCTTACCAGCCAGCTTTTAGCTTGTTTGACCCATTTCAGCTGTTTGATTGGTCAAAGAAGCTAATAATGATGTTTGGTAAATGGCTTTTAAAATTAGCTTGTTGAGTTTGAAAAGCTGAAAAAATGGATTGTTGAAGAAGCTAAGGGGAGCAGCTTCTTCATTTGGCTGGTTCAATTTACACTCTATCAGCCATTTTGAAACAACCAATTTTACCAAACAGTTATCTATAACCAGCTAACATAACCAGCCGGTCAAAACAGCTAACACAACCACCTGTTAGGAAACAGCTGACACAACCAGCTAACAACAACAGCTAACAGCCATTTGCCAAACATACCCAGTACCATATGTGATCAAATAGCGAGCACACTCTCCATGGAAGAGGCTGACCATATCCGAACACTATCTTTGCTTACCGACACCACGTAGCACCCTGCCAACGTATTCTCCGCACGGCCGCACCTCTCCCGTATGTGCCTATATATTTATTGCCAACTACAATAATATTATCCGAGAAAATTAAATAGTAAAGATGTTTGGGAATTTTATGAATGCTATTACTTCATGTAGATAATTTACAATGAAGTGTCACTTTTTGGTATATCTCGCTTTGAACAAGGTAGTATCATTGTAGTAAAAACTCAAACTTATACGCTCAAAAACATGAAAAGTTGATCGTTGCAATAAAGAAGAGAAATGAGGAAATTAAATATTTCAATTACGTGTAGTACGGTGTACAATATTGCGTATATATAGCTAGCTACTAGCTATCCGATTATATAGCATTATAACCGAATGATGAATGAAAAATGTTAAGACCTAGAATTTCATCCCAAAAGATCAACCTAATAGAAGGAGGAACTCAGATCTTAATATTGTTTTGAATTGCTTAAGAGATATCTGATGTGGGACATCATTACCCTTCCTCATGACCACACACTTCATCTGCATCGTGTCGTCATTTATTTTTTCATCGGTTCGTCATTGTCATTTATTCATTGTGTCATCATTTTTCATAGGGGGCCACACCATGGATCAATTTAGCTCTGATCCCATGTTAAGATCTGGGGTTTCATCCTAAAAGGTCAACCTAATAGAAGGAGAAACCTAGATCCTAATATAGTTTTTATTGTTTAAGTCAGAATTGTGAAGATGAAGAAAAAATGAAATTGTGATTGAATTCTTAATATTTTGGTAAACGGAAAGAATATAATTGGAGAATAAGAGAAAAAGAAAACAACTAGGGAAAGAAATCTATTCGTTAGGGTGTTTTGAATTCAAGAACAACATTGTATTGGAAACGGTAAACCATTTGTATGGTATAATTTGACTAAGTCGTAAGCCAGCTTCTTCTAATCTGTGTATATATTTTTCTTGATACTTTGAAAAATCATACTCCCTCGAGGTACCATAGAATCTACCATTTATTAATATATGAACTCCATCAGGTATTTAGGTGTAGGGGATTCTGAAGACGTACAACTCTTTTACTATTTCATCAAATCAGAGTCTAATCCCAAGTCTGATCCCCTCTTGCTTTGGGTTAGCGGAGGACCCGGTTGCTCTTCCCTCTCCGGCCTACTATTTGAGATTGGTAATAAATCTCTAACTTTAGGGTTTTTTTTTACTTTGGCATTGGAGTAAAGTTTTAATTTGGTCAATAATTCTACCTCTGCTGGAATAAATAGTACATGAACTTACATTGGTGTTCACAAAATACTTCAACTTATTTTCAGTAGAATAAAAAGTACACTAACTTGCAATAGAGCCCATAAAGTACTTCAAATTGTTTTCACAAAGCAATTATAGTGCACTCAGTCAAATATAGATGGACAATTTAGGACAAACAGTTTAATGATATTTTAACTCTTAGTGTAAACTAATAAAAATGAAAAAGGTAATAAAAAAGAGATGTTTTATAAATAAATTTTTTGATTTTTAAAATGTGTTTAACATTTGTAATATTTCAGTTGAACATATGTTGAAGTACTACTCCGTATTAAATTCAGAATCGTGAAACATTTGATAAAATTAGTAATCAAATAATCAAATGCATTTTAATTGAGGAAAGAGTACAACCACATATACGGAGTACTTCGTATTATAGTTCATAACCTACTTCAACTTGTTTTAATAGAGTAAAGAGTTAATGTTAAAAAATCATCTCATATTTAATTTTCAACTTTTTTCAATTGAAATATTGCAAATGTTAAACACATTTTAAAAATAAACAATTAATTTTACAAATCATCTCATATTTTCCCAAGTTTTTTCAATTATTAATTAGTTTAAACTAAAATTTAACAAATTATTTAATCATTTTGTCTAAGTTGTCCATCTATATTTGATGAATGTGCTATAACTCCACTTTGAAATGAAGTTGAAGTACTTGCAAGTTAATGTATTATTTATTCTACTGGAGACAAGTTGATACTACGTATAATCTATGAGTTCACATGCAAGTTTATGCACTCTCATTACTCCATCGAAGACAAATTCAGGTACCAACATGACATTTTACTCCATGGCATTTTGTCATTTATTGCAACATACAACTAAAACTCTGATACAAGTAATTATTAGTCTATTTCACGGTTTATTTCTTAAAAAAAACCTTACGAGCCTATTTGATAACTTGCATATATCTAAAACTCTGCATGCATTATGATAGCGTTTACGGAAGCAATCCCTTTGCATATCAAATATAAATGCATTGTTTGATTAGGTCAATAATTTATTTTAAATCATTTGCAATGTAGTTGCATAGCTTTATATATACTATATGTTAAGTCTTTTACGCCAATGCATAGTCCTGGTAAAATATTTACAAAGTAAAAATAAAATTGTCAAAAAAGTGTTCAACAATTACGTTAAATAATCAAAATAAAAATTCTAACTATTTACTCCTTACATTTCACATGCAAGTCTAGATTCCTGGATCCCCGCATGTGTGATTTAAAAAATGCATAAAACCTCATGTATTATAATTATTCACGTGCAACCCCCGATCCGCCCTTGCATATGAATAATTATAACACCCGAGAGTTTCATGCATTTTTCAATTACGTGAACTAATGCATCAAATTTTTATATCACGATGAGGTTGAATGCACTAAATCCTCTCATTTAGGGTAAGGAGGTAGGAGAGTACTATTAATTAAATTTGATAGCATCACACACTCACTTACCTTTTATGTTTTTGTTGAGCATGCAGGACCTCTTATGTTTGGACCTAAGATTCCTGAGAATATTACTGAAACCGTGCCAACTTTGATATCACAACCTAACTCATGGACGAAGGTGTGCTACTGTTTTCACATAAAATGTCAATCCTGTCCTCCATCTTTTTCCTATTCACAGACCAGACCTCCCGATTCATCTGACTTTGGAAAGGAATCTCTTAAGAGATTTTTCCAAAAAAATAAAGCAATAAAATATATTTACAAATTTTATCACATCTAGGTTTAGCATTTTGTCGGTCTTTTCTGTCAATATTTTACACACTTCATCTGTATGGTAATCCATGTTTTAAGTTTATCAATCTTTTCAATCAACTTTTCAGTATTGTTGGAGTTAGTTTAATTTTCTTGCTGAAGTTGCTATAAACGACCATGTTAACCTTTTTCATACATACTACGTGTAATTTTTCCTTTATCTTATAAATAAGATATACTCCATATTTTGAATATAATTTTTCATAATTCAACACATTCAGACGCTTCGGCCAGAATTTAATTATTTCCAACAGATTTGAGTGGTTTAACCAATTTCCAGATGGAGCCAAAGTGAAACTATATACTTCGTAAGTGATTAATTAATAATTTAATACCGATGCGGGATGTAATATTTTGTGTTAGGTGGCAAACATTATTTTCTTGGACATGCCAGCGGGCACAGGATTCTCTTACGCAAAAACTAAAGCAGATCAACAATCAACTACAATTCAAGCTTGCCAACAATCTTATGAGTTTCTTCTTAAGGTCCTTAACTTTTTAGTTGTATCGATAATTATTTATTAAGAAATTCCGAAAATATGAGCATTATGTTTTTATTCTATAAATAGAAGTCATTATTTTCATGCTCTAAAGATGTTGCCACTTACAATACACAGCCATATTAAGATAAAGTCCGATCATATCAAAATATGACACTAAAATTTCAGGATAACACTAAATTGCTCCTATTTACGGAAAACACAATACTTCATTTCGGAATTTTGGTTATTTTTATTATATTTTGGGACTTTTCCCTTACTTATTTGTACATTCATGAAGAACGTTATTTGTGTGCAGTGGCTAGTTGATCATCCAGAGTTTGTTTCAAATCCATTCTATATGGGGGGTGACTCATATGCTGGCGCATTTATTCCTATCATTACTCAAATCATATCAGATGGAAAGTCTTTGAACTATAAGCACCCTCTTCAATGATTAATTTTTGGCTCTTGTGCCCATTCACCTTGTTCAATTATGTTCTTTAAAACTTTATCATCTTTGACTTTTCGATTAATGGCGATACAGTTTAGACTGATTTTAATTTAGTATTACATTTGGGAAGTTAAAAATTTATACTTTTAGAAAAGTACCTTTAATAACGAATGTTTTCATATCATTTTTAATTATAATATAAATAACTTCCTGTAAAAACATATAATTGGTTAACCTGGGTTGACCAAAAAATTTAAAGATGGCAAAATTTTAATTACTCATATAGAAGTCTAATTCACATTTGAATAGAGATTCCACCGCAAATTTCCATTTCACTTTAAGGGTTTTTTGGGTCTTTTTTTCACAAGAGATTCAAGATTAAAAGAAAAAAATGGTGTTGCATCAAATCGCGTGATATTTACCTTATAATTTTCAAGTTCAAAGCACATAACTGGTTGAACTGAATGATTTGAACTGATTTGCGGATTTGATTGGATTAATTGAGTGATGTATTGAGCAATGGGTAAAAGGGCAAGTTAAAAGAAATTGAATTCCTTCAGTGAGGATTTAAATTAAAAACAAACAAAATTCAAAACTAAGACCCATTTTATTCCTAAACTTATTTAATCTTCATGAAAGATTAAAATATCATCTTTTAGTAGTAATTAGTCAATCCTATTATAGGAAAAATACACTTTGGTCCTAATTAGAGAATTTTATTAGCTTTTATTCCTGCTTAAGGAATTTTCCCCATATTAAACCCTCTATATAGTCATTTTTATTTTATAATTAACTTGAAAATATGCTCATGGCTTTATCAACATCGGTAGTGCTTGGTGTACACAAAATGTGTACACTTTTTGTACATTCGTCTGTCTCACGCATAAGCATTTTTTTTATCAACATTCATGAATGCAGGGAATGACAAGGGAATAAACACCAAGATCAATCTCAAGGTTTGCACTCATTCCCTCTCTAACAGAGATAACTTTTAATACTCCGTAGTAATAAAAAACGTCTTTTCGTAAAAATGAGAATAAATATTGACTTTAATCACTTAGGAATTGAAGGTTTCATTGACTTTTTATAGAAAAGAAACAGTGACATAATTGTAAATATTATACTCCCTCCGTCCCAATAAAAACTCCGGTTTTGACCGGGCACAAATCTCGATCGTTGTGAACCCTTTTTGGCAAAGAATTTGTGGTTCACAACCATTCTTATATCATCGATTAGTAATTAATACTG